GAATTCTTTGTAAGTCACAAAACGTTTTCAATAATGAGACAGAATTAGTGATTCACCGCATTTATCAATACAATGGGTGTGAGCGCGGGCAAGTAAGGAATCAGAAACTTACAAATTCACGCATGCAAAAAAGCTGCTCCAATCGCGCGTTCTTCCATACCGTAGTTGTTTTCGCTGCGGGTGCGCCAGCCTGCCGCGCGATGTCGCGTTGCGAAGAGCGAAAAAGTCGCGTTCTGTCCTAAGTACCCACACCCTGCTAGAGCACCACGCGTACTCGACGCGATTTCCACCTGGTACTGCTCCCTTGGACAAGCCTCGGAGGAGCAGACGACAGAGCGCCGCGCCGCAGCGTGGTCCTCCCCCCAACCCACTTAGCACCAAAGTTTCAAGTAATAAAACACGAAAGCAAGAAAGCAGACAAAACCTAAAGAATAGAAAGGATGCGGGTGCTATCTTAGTTGGGGGGGGGGGGGGGCACGCGGCGGCGCGGCGCTCTGTTCGCCTCCTCCTGCAAGGCTTAGTCCTCGATGGCGCCTATTTCGAAACTGTCATGTGATGGCGAAATAGTAACTGCGGCTCTATACAAGTGGGATGGGCACGTCCAGCTTTTCACGCATGTCAAGTGGCTGCCCTCACCCCCCCCACCCCCTAGATTGGCTACACTCCCCCTGGCTCACGAATTCCCCGATTCTGGTGACAGTACAGCAGCGGGCAACAGTCCTACTGACATACTTTTCTGTTCAAAAAATGCGGCGACATTACTTGTATAGCACCGTAACTGCCCCTGGGACTAAGCCTTTTGAGGAGGAGACGAACAGAGCGCCGCGCCGCCGCGTGCCCCCCCCAACTAAGGCTGCTTTCATAGTCTGCGGTCCGTGCCGTCAGGGTGAAAAACGTCAACACGCGCTCCGGCGCACAATGCGCACTTGGCGCGCAGTCGGCGCCTCCCTCGATCGATAATGCTGATTTCGACACATTTTTTCTGTATTTTGACGTTTTGTGCGCCGTTTTGCTTTTTCTTGCGGTTGCTTAGCCCAAAACTTTTCCTTTTTTGTATGGATTACTGCTTTTGCTCACTAATGAACCCACTTGGTGCTTATTGCCTACTTTCAAACACAGTGTATGAACCTAACCATTCTAGGACAGTTGAAAAGCAGTGATTCACACAAAAAAGGAAAAGGTTCTCGCCAAAAAACACGAGAAGCAACACGGCACAAGGAGCACCAGGAAAACACAAATAGAATGTGATGAAATCGCATTTATAAACTGGAAGGCGTCGACTGGCTTTTGCTTGTTTTTTTTTGGCGAACGAGAACCTTTTCCTTTTTTGTGTGAATCACTGCTTTTCAACTGTCCTAGAATGGTTAGGTTCATACACTGTGTTTGAAAGTGGCAATAAACACCAAGTGGGTTCATTAGTGAGCAAAAGCAGTAATCCATACAAAAAAGGAAAAGTTTTGGGCTAAGCAACCGCAAGAAAAAGCAAAACGGCACACAAAACGTCAAAATACAGAAAAAATGTTCGAAATTAGCATTATCGATCGAGGGAGGCGCCGACTGCGCGCCAAGTGCGCATTGTGCGCCGGAGCGCGTGTTGACGTTTTTCACCCTGTCCGAGCCGTCCGCGCGGGCGGCGCGGACGGCGCGGACGGCACGGACCGCAGACTATGAAAGCAGCCTAAATGCACCAGGAGCTTTCAGACCCCTCTGGAGCTATCGAACTTCAGCCAAAGTACGCGTCATGCCGCCCGCAATCGTGTTTCGCTCTTCGCTCCCTTCGGCACCGCTTCGGAGGCCGGTCACAAGGCTTGGTCGCGAATCAAATTGGCATTAGAGCGCACAGGCCGCAGCGGTGCGCCTCTAATGCGCAATGCGATTCGCGCCATGGGCGGATTCAATCCTTCCCACCCAGAGGGATATATCCGCCTCCCTGGGGCCGTAAGGTTATGCTTCCCGATATGGTGGCGGAGACGCGGAAGTTTTTTGTTTGAGGGGGGGGGGGAGGGCGATACTGTTTTCTTTGTTTCCCTTGAATCAGAGTAGGGGGATATATCCCCCTGGGGAAGAAGGATTGAATACCGTCCCATGTGTCCCCTATCCTTACTGTGGCCAAACAACTCGTCCGCATCACTCAACTCTTAAACTTCTGTAACTGATCGATCTGATAAGTTTGGGTCTCCAGAACCTCGACGAGTCTCAGGAATACGAACAAAGAGCGATAGCTTCTGCTGGCCTGATGGCAGGGGAACGGAACGTAAAGTGTTGCGCGTACGAGTTGTCGGGCCACAGCAGGATGTAGCAATTACGGCCTGTGCGCTCCAGTGCCAATAGGTTCGCGCCACATGACGTACACCCCACTGCGGGTGCTTGGCTTTCTTCTACACCACGGCCCTGCCACGAATGGTGGAAAGCACAGACAATCAGAGAACGGCGCCCGGCTCGGCTCTGAATCCCAAGAGGTGAGAGCCCAAGACTAAGGCCTTTGTAGGAGGATGGACTCTGATGTGGGTGAGCCAACTACACGCAAAAGTTTGAATGTGTGGGTTACAGTGCGATATGAGCCAGTAAAAACTAAGGCGAGAGAGGCGGAGCGAAGAGCATGAACTGAGACAGCTAAAGGATGAGTTCAAGTAGTCCGTCGCTCACCCTAACAACTATAATCCATTCAAGTTATGATCCTACAGAATATTGTTTCGTCTCAATCGATCTAACTGACATCGTCGGTATTGGTTGCCTTGCATGTGTTTACTCTATAAGTTATCTTTTTGTAGAGCCAAATATCTTCGCTCTTTTCTTCACTTGGTTGCTTCCTCGCCAATTCGTCTTCAGTTCACATATGGACTTGGAACGCCCCGCCACAGGTAGGCAGGGCGTTGAATTTCTCATGTTTCTCAAAGCAAGCGGGACAACTTAGACAATTTTCAAAGCACACAGTTCTTTTAGGTGTTCTTACCACTACTGCAGGGAAGAACACCTGAAAGGATCACGTGCTTTTTGACGTGCTTTTTGACTTGATTTTTGACTTTTTCTTGACTCATTACTGAGAATACTTCAGTGGGACAACAAATCAAGCAAGGAAGCAGTTTCAGGAAATACATAGTTAAACTAGATATTAATGTAATTGGATTGAATTTAGAAACTAGAGCTGAGATATTCCCAAATCAGCACCTAATGTATGATTTTGCAGGAGTGTATTCCTGCAATTAGACTCTTTGACGTATAAGTAACCTCTGCAGTATAAATAACTCCACCACTTCCAGAACTAGTGGCTAACTTGTCACTTTAGTCGCAATTTATTTTCAGAGGAAGAATGGGCTCAGTGTTTTGGCGAAATCCGATCAATTTCCTTTCGATAATCCTCGAGCGCGTCAAAAACGGATTGGCAGACACCGTAGTACAAAAGTAGCGCACAGGAACAATGTTTTAAGAGGTATCGTGAATAAGTGAACGTTTGCGACAGTTGCTCTTTGTCCAGTACTGTATCTCCTGTAAAAGTTATTCGATGATTCTTCAGGAAATTGACAGCCAAAAGACAGACTTCCGGTATCGCTTCTGGACACCACCGCTAATGCCCAGTCAGTTCTCAATAGTTTCGCTTTGCTTTTTTCATAGTTCCTTTCCTTGGTTATCGCGTTTGGAATAACTCTCCAAATTTTGGCAAGCGTACCCCTAAGAGGTATCAACCTACTTAGGGTCCACTGGATCTCTGCTGGGTTTTATCCACAATCGTGTTAGAACTGAACCCTTGTTGTTACCAAGGAACTATTTAACGTCCATTTTTTTTCACTTGTGCAGCTAACATGTTGGGACTGACTTTTGGACAGCTGGGCTCAGTGGCAGACACCACAACAAAACATATCGTCACCCGGCTTTGCGGTACTTCCTGTCCGGTCCTGAACCTCGCAACAAACACAGCTGTTATATCTCGATATCGAGAGTTGGGGTAGGCGTGTCACCGGAAGCAGCCGCACTTGATAGATGTCGCGTGGATAAGCTGCTTCCAACATACATCGCTGGATATCAGCAAAGCATGCTGGCAACAGCTTATCCACGCAACTTCTATCAAGTGCGGCAGCAGCCACGTTCTTTCCGCGACACGTCTACCCGGTGTGGTTCACTAGGACAGAAAGCGACTTTTTCGCGTTTCGCAGCGCGAAACATTTTTCGCTGCGGGAACCTCAGGTCCACCGCTGATCATCAGTGGACCCGAGGTTCCCGCAGCGAAAAATGTTTCGCGCTGCGAAACGCGAAAAGTCGCTTTCTGTCCTAGTGAACCACACCCAGGTATCTTCATTAATGTTCTTTCTTCTGCCGCACCTTCCTCCCGTTTTTTTATGAATGAATTACAAAATCACGTAGCTGGTTTAATGTGCGCTACTTTAGAAGTCTCGAGCATTGCCGAGGAAATAATGACGAAATTCAGTGCTAAAATGCGCGCTATATCTGCTGCAGAACGAGGTACCTTCAACGCTGGATAATCTTGAAAATAAGAAAATTATATCTTTTTAAGAAAAGCTGGAGAAACCCATGCTCGAAAGTTTGGCTCGCAAACCGAATATTCCAGATCCACTGCACAATCAAAGTGAAGTAGCAGACAATGTGGTACATTTTTTTCATATTTCTGCTGAATATATCATGTAAATATGTTTATACAAAACTGGGGAAGGGTATGAAATATGCTAAGGAACTGACGTTACAGAAAGGTATACTTATTACTTGAGTCGTATAGGAAGAAAACGCTTACAATCAGTTGAGTGGTGAAAGGTGCGTACCAGAGAAATTCTGAGAGGAAATAACCTCTGAAGTTTTAAAATATTTTGTTGTGAAGCATCATTGCATGGAAGAAATTGAAAACTGAACACGTGAACCCACACGGAACTTTCCCACTTTTTTCTAACGATCGTTTTTCGGAAAACACTACAGTATAGGATCGCTATACCTACACATTCCCTATATTAAGCTACACGAAGAAAAAGTTGCCTTTCCGAAAGCCTGATGCTTTCATTATGAGGTCTTTTAGAACTTCTGTCATTTTGATACTTCACGTTAAATGCTTAGGTCCCGACAATCTGCCATTTTCTATAAATCACTGTACAGGGTGGGCCAAAATTATGAGGACCAAGACATTGTGTCGTTAAAAACGCATAGTAGCTTGATGGAACAAACAAACTTCAGGGAAGTGTTTGTAACTCTTATCTCAAAGTAATTCCAGAATAGAATTGAGATCTGCCACCTGCCCCGTTACACGAGCCTTCAGATGAAGGGGATGGCGCGTGCGGTGGCACGCAACTGAGGCGTGTCAAAATGTTTCCAGGCCTTCTGCTCTGCCTTTCTTCAGGGAATCAAAGTTTTGTGGGGCATTTATTTGCGCTTGCATCCAGGGTGTAAAATACAGAAATCTAGTAGAGTATATCAGATGGAAGGTTCCATATGTAACAATTCTTCGAAAGCAAGGAACTCGAAAAATCGCTTTTTAGGGGATTTTCGCTCTATTCTTGGGTGCTTGGTCCTGTAAAAAGTTCCAAGTAGTACTCAAGTGGCTTTCTATCCACTACAGATGTGGAGTCTTTAGAGTGTCTGGCTGGGTTTTTCATCATCGATTTTTTCATTTTGGGAGTACGAAAGTCGACAAGGGGAGACCTAGTTTCTGCATCTGATAATTGTCCTGGTGGTAACTGTAACTTTCGAGTCTCCGAATTTTCCATCTGTGGTGGTTCCAAACTTATTGAAGAGTTGAACTGTTGCTCATAAGAGCTTCCTCTGATAGGTTAGACTGCCGCTAGATGTAACGTGCCAGAGCCCCTAGTGAGTTCAATTTGAGGACTGACGTAAGGTGATGTAGTTATTTCACTAGTTTTGAGAAGTGCATGAATATTTTGTTTCATTAGGAAGAAGACATTGTACCCTTTCACATAGTGCACAGAAAAGGAGATGAAAATGTAGCGACTCGAAAAAAGTGGATATGACCTAGCGCGCACGCGGTCCTCATAATTCTGGACCACCCTGTAGGAGCGCGTTCCACGTTATCAGTAACCAGTTGGCGCCGCACGCATTGCGCGCGCAACACAGATCTGCGGCGAATTTTGATGGTGCGACGAAAATTTTCAAATTTGGCTTGATACACTACGAATATCTGAATCCTCAGCTAAATTCAATCCGCTCCATCATCGACGGCTTTCAACCTTTTTTTCTTCGTCAACCATTATCCTCTTTTTCTCGGTCTCCGGACTGCTTCCGGACAATAAATCTCGTGGCAAACTCCGCCTACTTCGGTGCGTGCCCCGCCCACCAATAGCATTTGGCCCCCTTCCTTTCGCCGACCTCTAACCCCGTTTTCCCCTATCTCTAGGACCTCTTGCAACCGAATTGCGATACTTTTGGCAAACTCCGCCCACTTGGGTGCGTGCTCGCCACCGTTGACCTCCTTTCCTTCACCCACCTCTACTCCCTTTTTCCCAGCCTCCGGGACTTCTTGGAGCCGAGTTATGAATTTTCGTCGCAAACTCCGCCCACTTTGGTCAAGCCCCGCCCACCATTGACAGCTGGCCTCCACTCCTCCACACCTCTATCCACCTTTTTTCCGGCTCTTTAAGACTTCCCCGGCCCGAAATTATGATTCGGAAAAAAAGGACGAACTTGTGGACAAAATGGCCGTTCATCTTCAGAGCGCGCCGCTGCCAATGTTTCTTAGCATACATACGTGGGCAGAGCCTCCGCCACGTCATGTACAAGAAAAACATTACTTCTCACCGAATTGTTTTCTGCTCTGTAGGCTTTCTCCCAACCGAGTTATGAAATTTTTCATAAAGCACTGCTTTTTTAGAGAACGCCCCGCCCACCGGGGGTGGGTCTCCCTAATTCGATGTGACTTACCAATGCACACCTTTACCCACTTTTTGGCCCAGTTTCGAGGTCGTTTTGTCACTGAAATCGAAATCTTGGTCTTCGGTACAATTCATTTCGACGCACGCCACGCCCTCTGTGGGCGGGGCTCCGCTTAGCTGATGTGTGTTTTGTATTACGTGAGACTTGCCCACCCATCCCACACTTGACCCGGTCCCTCCAGGCGGATCCCGAGGAGCTAGGGAATTTCGTGACAGACATACAGAACGACAGACAGACGACAGACGAAGCGCTTTATAGTAAGTAGGATTTCAGGCAATTTGTTCTCTAAGCGTTTGTTTCCAATTTTTTAATTTTCAAGTAGTAAATACAGCATGGAAAGAGCAGGTTTTTTGAGCTCTCAGGACCGAGTAAGGGTAGAGGCGAGATAATGAGGCTAATCTTGCAATAAAATGATTCATGAAGCGGAAAGATGGGTGGTGGAGAAGGAAGGTTAGGGTCGAGGTGCATTGTATATGGCGCTTCCGCGGTAGAGAGGCCTTATAACAATGTTGTATAGTGCAAACAAGTGCCCAACTGAATCCAGACACACCGTACCTCGAAGGTGTTGCGTTATTTTCTTCTAGGGATGCCCTTCGATGTCGTTTCACCTTGTTCTTGAAAGTTTCAGCTTTCGCCTTCGCGTTGGGCGATTCTTCTGCGCAGTGTGACAATATTATTAAACCTTCTTCTTATTCTTTAGCGTTTGTCCCACCCTGTGGCGGGGTCCGCTTTCCTGGTATTACGACGCCACTTTTCCCGATTATGTGCCTGATCGGGGTGAAGGCCAACTAATTTCAAATCCTCATGCAACGTATCAAGCCATCGTTGCTTCGGGCGTCCTCTTGGCCGCTTTCCTGGCACGTTAAAGTCTAGACCGATCTTACGGACACTCTCATCATTAGCGCGAAGGACGTGACCGTACCACCTCAGGCGAGCTTCGCGCATCTTATCAGCGATGGGAGCCACACCGAACCGCTTTCTGATGGTATCGTTGCGAATGTGGTCTAAACGGGTAACCCCGGCAGTCCAGCGCAGCATTTTTGTCTCCATTACACTGAGACGAGCCTCAACCTCTTTAGTCACGGGCCAGCACTCTGCTCCGTAAATGGCGACTGGTCGGACGACGGTTCTGTAGATCTTAGAGCAATATTATTAAAATATAAAATATAAAATAATTACGATTTAACTTGGCCTCTGGGGCGGGAGGGATGACAGATGCGCGCGCGGTATGTTTCACTCCTCTTGGTTTAAAACGAAGGTTTCGTGATCCAGACGGATTGTAAGCAATTAAGAGGGTGGGGGTGGAGGGGCGGGTCAGTTCACAGCGTAAAAAGTTGGATTATGCGAGATTTCACTATTTCGCTGATGGAGAGAAATGAGCCTCCGCGAATGCCACCTCCCCCTTCCCCTTCACCGCCGCGGTTCAAAATCGAAATAGCGGAAGGTGGGAGTTGCCTAGGTTACGAAAGAGATCTGATTTTAGCTGGACGGATTTCGATGTGAATAGATTCGCTGACGAATTTAAGGTTTTGCCGAAGGGTTCGACAACGATCAAGCTACATAAAACTCACTAACGATAAGCTGATATTGCACTGTGGGATGTTTATTGTGAATTCTGCGTGGTTTTCGGCTTGTACAGATGCGTCTGACCCATACGGAATCATCATAGTTAAGATTTACTTTACCATGACCAACAACTTCAACACATTTGCAGCTGTGTATCACTCATCACTCATGGACCGAACTCATTCCAAGAGGTGCTCGGCACATCATGACAGCACCGTGCCCTGCACCACTTAGCCAGCTGGATCATGGTGAACATCTGAAATGAAATTCTTACCTAGTCGAACGCCACTCTTTTGTGAGCGATGCCCGCGAATCCTAGCGGTGTACTTGTACCATCCCACTCTTAAAGAACTTGTAGCGTTATTCATGCATATTCTTTCGCGAGTGTAGACTACGACGCTTTCTAATTGAAGTTTCTGGGCCGAGACATGTGCAGCAAAGAGCAACGGAATTTTCCAGAAGACATTTAAATTCTGCAATCGTTAAACCACCTTCTAGCTCCACTATGTTTGCGTCTTAATATAGATAATTTCTCGTTTTTTGAGGATTAGAAGAAGTCGTTAAGTTAACAAAGAATTAAACACGTTGACGTACAGCGTGAACGTAACACGTCCACTTTGCGCAGCTTCTATGGCTTGTGACGCGGTAACGCGTCCCACCCAAGTCATCCCTTTTTCTTGCGCTTGTGCGACTTATTCCTAAGGTCTTTGTACTCATTCTATAGGTCATACATTAGCATACTTAAAAACCACATGGCTCACAGAAAGGCCAAATATTTTAGTTTGGCAGACGTTTTCCAGACCTTACGGATATGTCTGTTCAATTCATTCCTCGTTTTCTTTTCAATAACGTAGACATGTTGATAAAAAGGAATAACAGAAGTGAATACAAACCTATTCGTATGGGAAGATATGTGTTTTTACTGAAACAAACGTCCAAATTAATTTTGGAACCACTAAAGGGAAATTAAGTAAAATTTCCCTTTTCATGGCCTTAACACGTCATTTCGGTCAAACTTCCATTACTGTAACTCCTGATAAGCTAGACAGATCGAACATCATTGAAAACATTTCATCGCTAAGTATTGCGTATTTACAACTCAAAATCCATGGATTTGGTGTGCGGGCTGGCGCTCGCAAAATCGCTCTGTCCCATACGGTGCAAAAAGCCAAACGCGCGATGTCGTCAACGTGTTGGGGAGACCCACCACAGCATATCGTTTTCCAGAAGCTTCTGCCCTGTCTATGCCTAACATTTTTACAGGAGCAGCATTCAACCTACCCTCAAGCTAAGCATGGTATCGGGAAGTAGCAAAACCTTTTGTTTTCTAAGTAGTCAGGACGCGTGCACCAATACTAAAAAATAACGGAATAATGTCTGAAAGCTCAAGAGAGGCTCGGACGCATATAAACTGGCTTTGTATAGCACCTGTCCATAAACAGTCCGCTCCAACCTAATTAGACTGCATGAATGAATGGAATGTGGTTAACGAAATTAGGATAGTCATATAAATACATCTGCTTAAATTGATAAATGGAGTTATCTGATCTTATTCAGGATCAATCGTATCTTGCGAAGAAGCGAAGACGAGGTGAGCCTTTTTCTAGCATTGAAATAATTCAATCATAACTCTATTCTCTTTGAGGAAGAAGAAAATCAGTTGAAATCCAGTGAATCATTCTCATCCAGTCGAGCCAGTATGTGCAAATCCACGATTATTAGAGCTTTCGTGCTTGCTATCGTCTAGGTCAAGTCAAACTGAAACTAGCCGCGTCATGGGTAGCGAGGTAATGAAGAGCGGCAAATATTTCACTTCAAATTCGATGAGATGTTGAATTTTCATATATTTTCAGAGTGATCTCACGCTAGACACCACATTGCAAACGCTGAGTTCCTCCGCAAATAGTACATTTTATGACAGTCGAAGTGTGTCAGATCTCTTCTCAACTCATGTCAAGTGATTTTCTGTCATTTGTTTTATCAGACCTATGAAATGTGATTGGCACACACTCATCAACATGTGTGTAGATGCTCATATTTTTTTTCCAGACTGATGTTGGTTTTTCGACAGATGGCGCTTCCAACACACAGGTATCTCCTGCTCGTTTACCTTATGACCGCCATATTGCCTTTGAGTTCGAGTTGAGTTGCAGTCGTCTTCACGGTCCACACTATCTAACACTGACTCAGAGATGTAATGGAGTAGTACTGCTACGTCTAGGGCAGAAAATGTGAGTGGAAGAAAGTTTAAGCTTCCTTTGAAGCTTTCAAATCTTGTTGGAAGCTGCTAGATTACAGGGTTCGGAAGAGTCAGATATGGAGCTGGATGTTACACCACCTCCTTCAGAAGAACGTCAAGCTCTTGGCCAAAAGAATGGACACGATGCAACTGAACCAAACAATGAGGTAGTAATTGTACGATGCTGAACTCTTTGCATACGGCTTGCAAATTGGTTGATGCGCTCACCTTCAATGTATTTTGAACAATGAAATGGTGAGTTGCATTTCTTGAAAATGAGTAATTTTCGATAGCCTGTTTTGACATCTCCTAGATTATGAGCCAATGCTTATACATATTAGATTTCCATACTAGGGAAGAGTGCTGTTTTGACTGTTTTTCAACTTTTTTTTTGCTATTTCTTTAGAAGTGCTTGCTCCATTCGAACATACATGGTGAATTTATCTACAAGATACTGCTACAGCGTTTAAAGCGTTAGCCGTCATTCTCGTTTGATTTCCTAAGATAATTGGTTGGGAAAATTCCGACCCGTCATTCTGAATAGGTCTGCACTTAACGTCAAATTTCTTTCCTAGGACAGACTGACGGAGCAATCTATGGGTGTCCTCAATCGGGAGGGTTTAAGGACTAGTGGGAGCTGAAATACATCAGCTGAACATCCTTATTTTATGATTGTATTCCGTAAGTGTTCCTACATGTGGAAGTGGTGTAGTGACAAGTGGCGCGCTCACCACGCGAGCGGTCCGGGATCAAATTCCTGGGTCGTGAGTCGCCCGGGCCAACCAAGCCTTCCATCCCTCCGGGGTCGGTTAATTGGTACCAGACTTGTCTGGGAGGATAAAAACACTGACTTGAACATCGGCTGGCCCCCGCAAGTCATTGTATAGGCCACATCGCATTCAAATGCCACTGCGAATGTACAAATGGAAGTAGAATGCGTGCCGCATCCCAAAAAGGGATTGATCAACGGCAAATGCTTTATCCTTTTTTATCCTTTATTGCGTAAGTGGAGTCGATGAGTCAAAAACAGAGACTGTTTGCTTTGCTTTTATATTGGCGAGGTCGCTATCAAACTATTAGCGGTCTTCTTCACCATCATGTTTTGTTAGGTGTCGGTTCCCAGACCAAAGCCCCTCTCGTTTTCCACCAACATCCGAGAAAGATCGAACTAAGAGAAGGTTGGGCTCTCGCTGTCACCACTGATGACGCTCTTTAAGGCCAGATACTGCTGGCTTAGGACTTGTTTGAAGCACTCCACCATTTCACATCACGGTGAATCGCGTGACAGGCAATCCAAGGATATTATGGAAACAACAGGAACCGGTGATGTCAAAGTTTCGTGGTTTTGGAGGCTGATTTGTGTTCAGGGACGCAAACTTTTGTGTGAGATTATAACTCTATACTTACGATCTTTACGACTCATGGAGTTGTCTCAGTACTGTCATTTCAACACATCGAAAAAAGAACGGCTGGTCTGTCGGGATCCGTTTCCAGGGGCGTTGGGTAGAGCTGTGAGACTGCCAGCATGGGTAGTTAGAGTGTGGATGCTTGAATTATAAAAGGCATGGAGTGAGTGCACCCGTGCACGTGGTGAAGCAGCTTACTTTTGTCTTTCGTTGATGCTGGTCTTCCGTATTACCTTGGGTTTGAAAGATTCCTTCTATCGTATTGAAAAAAGCTCAGAACTAGGTCAGAAAATCGAAGCACAGTCACTGGAGGCAGCCTGTAAATGGGCTGACTAATTTTCAAGGTAGGCTAGTGTGTGTGCTACATCGCGAGACATATTTCACGCTGTCAACATTTTTCTGGAATTTTACGAGCAGTGATGCAGAGTGACTCTTCAATTGTGGGACAGCCTAACTAGAAGCAGCGTTCCTCTGCTAGAAAGTAAAAGTTTTCATAATTTTCAACCATATAGACGCTAGTTTCAACTTTGGATCAAACACGGAGAACGCACACAGCTAGCTACTACTCTCCCGTGGATTAAAACTCAGAAAAATAAACACTCGTAACATGCAAAAAATTTCGGAAGGAAATGCATGGTTGGCGGTATGGTTAGATACAAGAGTTTACAAATTCAAAATAATTCAAATTTCATAATATGGATAGGGCAAAATTTGCATTGAATCACCTTGGGTCAGCTTGGTAATTTTGTTCATTTTCTTTCCATTTTCAGACTTACATTTTTTTGGAACCTTCCGGTTGTGTTTTTACTGTATCTTGAGAACATGCCACTACAGGGAGCGCATAAAATTCGCAAAATTTAACATGCCGGTGACAGCTCGCATACGGGTGCTAAGGACGCTTGTGAGTCGGTGGCAGCCTGCACGAGCTGTCAGCTATGAATTCCTTCAACTAGTTTCAGACTTTGACCAAACCACATAGTTCTGGAATTGCCTTTTTGGTACCTTCTGGTTGAGTTCGAAGGCACCGGTGAATTGGGTGGTCTAATGAACCCCCTTCGCCAAAACAGTGGCTAGGTCTGCATTCATAGAGGTTGATTGTTACACTCGCGGCTCGCATGATTCCGCTGTAATTCGCGTCGCGCCTAGTAATTAAGGCTGCGGCTGCCTGTACGGTACGCTATTGACTGCGATCATGCGCCGTAGTCGAGTGATCGGGTCGTCGCGGGGCCCATAGAGGTAAAATCAGCTGGGTATAGTACGTTGGTTGCCGCATCACCTGCTGACCCGAAGCCAGATGGCTGCGTGTCTGTAAAAGTCAGACGTTCGGACAAGCCCTTCTCTTATACTAGCCTCCTGCGCTGTTGTTGTAGAGGTTTTCTCTTTTAGCCTTCCCAACGGTTTCTTCCCGTATCTTCTTTGCTGACTCTCCATTTCGCATCTCTGCACTTACTTTCAAGTGCAAAATACCACGACTCCGTACCAACTCCCGCCTTTGACTTTCTAACAGGTTTTGTATTTACAACCTTTGAATCCATCAATATAGATAATGCGGCGCGCCTGTAAATCGCTCTATGTTGCCGCAGCTCGGAGGGGAGGCAGGACTATGCACCGTCGTGTGTGAATGTGTTGTAACACTCTGCTTACGGTTAACCGTTAAAGAGGTTGTGCGGGTGAAGTCAAACATTGGCATCTGCCGATGGCGGTTGAAGGACAGCCTCGTCTTAGCGCGCTGACCGGTGCAACAGGGAATTTAGAAAGGAATACTGAGTCATGACCGTAACGGTTCCACTTCAACAATACGTACTACTTGGCCGTTACCATCGCTTCCTTGATCCAGTGCAGCGGACGTCGTGACCCGGGAACGAGGGACTTCTTTGAAGACTTTTGGGCTTTATCGCGTTGTTTGAGGCCGCTTTCGCCGCTTCACCGAAATCGTTACCTATCGCAGATTTGAAGCTGACATGGTTTTTTCAATAGAATTCGATTGTTACCCCTTCAATAGGAATAACACCAGCTACATAATACAATGCACTGAGCCCTCCGGTTATAACCGCATAGGTGCTGCAGTGGCAGCTGAGGAGATGGGAGGGCGGAGGAGGTAAGGAGGCGAAAACAATCCACACAAATAGATGAAGGTGCTGTTGGGTATTGTAATTCGTTCTAACTATACCTGCATGTCATGCTTCGCGATGCCTGTACTATAACTGAAATCCTTTTTGTGCGCGTCCGCTTCCACGAGATGTTTGGTGTTCATAGAGTGCGAAGACTGAAGCGTGAAGACGCTTACGGCAGGAATCCGTAGACCGGCTTAGTGGACGGGAGACAATCTGGTCAAGCATATAAATAGGATTAGATTCATTTGTTTTGAAGTGTGACAGTACTTGTCCCGAATATCTCTGTACATTTTTTTCACAAAACAATGAAAAGTATTGTCTATGAATGATACGACTGTTCAAACTGCTGACGAGTTTTTAGAAAGCAACGAGGGAGTTGTCCGGTGGCAAGCCACCTTCCAAACGGCCAAACACGTCAATCAAGTGCGGTCTTGGATAATAATGCAAGGTTATTAATAAAGATATACTATACTTTTTGAAAGTTATTCTGAACTGGTCTAATGGTTATTCTGACTGTCTAATGACTTCTCCTCCAAAGCTCTAGTTTTTATCCTGATTTTAGTGCTTTTGTTATATCTGAAAGTTCACGGAGTTTTGGCAGCTTGTAAAGATGCATGAAATGTAGCGTGAAAGCGACTTCTGCCGTGAAGTTCCTCTTTCTTATTTTTCCACACATCCTGTAATTTCAGATTTCGAGCAAACGCGAAAAACAATGTCTTGCTACCCCTTCAACTAGGCGACAGAATTTTGCAACTACGCAGATAAACGAAACCCAGCAGAAGCGCTATAATTTGAGGAGTACCCAGGTATGGTAAGGAACGAGGTCAAATTTGAATTAATTAATTGAGTCAACTTGACGATTTTATTCATTTTCTTTTCAGCATTAAAACCGCCAGTGTATGGTGCCTCTCGTTCGAGTTTTGCTTATCCCTCAAGAGAGAATCGTTCGTGGACTCAAATCAAATTTTTAAAATAGGGCGAGTCTTTTTCTGTGAATTCTTCTTGAACATTTGATTATCATCCAAATAGCATTCGGAAAGTTGAGTTTATTATATGTTACAGTAACCTCACCTAGTATCATGCTTCTGTGACAAATTGTTTTCTTGTTTGTGAATTTGAAAGCGTTGTTTTTTTAATTGTTCCTGTTGTTGTTCAGCGATGTTAGATGATTCTGTGAATAAAGCTGTTTGATAGCTAATGCGAGGGGAGACGTTCTACAGCGACAACTTCATCTGCTGTATACCTGAGTTTCCTAACATTTGCGATTATTCACTCAATATTTCCGTCTCACATATATAATAAATTATACTGCGACGGCCTTGTGGAAGGTTATTTCAGTTGATGTGCTTTACGATGGTTGGGTGATTTCTACTGTTACTTCTCTAGCTGTTTCCCGTTACGACCTTACGACACGCTTGGTAATATAAAAAAAGAACATCCGTTGCGCAACCACTTTTTTCCCATGCTACCACTACGAAGCAGCGAGTCGTCTAAAACCAGCAATTATAACTCCGTTTGTGACTTCCGTGCCTTACACTAGGCATACATCTTTCAGAAATCTGCCAACTTTGAATTAGCGTTTCCTACAATATTGTAGGGTACCAGGACAGGAGGTAAGCAACCCTTTTGGCGTTTCTGCTGGGGCCGTATGCTGAATGTTGGGGAGGGGATGGGGTCCCCGAGTCGACGGACTACTTGAACTCGGTCGGTACGGTAGGAGAGTGATGACGAAGTGGTGCAGCTAGGTCCAGCAGCTCCGCCAGAAGGGCTGGTTTGCTCACCCCAGGACTAAGCCTTGGAGAGAGGACGGACCCGTCCTCTCTTTAAGGCTTAGTTCTGAGGTAAGCACCAAATTGTGGCGGTTTTAAGGACCGAGTTGAAGTGGTCCGTCCACCGTCGGGGACCCCATCCCCTCCCAAATTCAGCATAGCATAAATGCTGCTTTCCAGGACAGGACAACATGACGCGTTTCTTGTAATTATAAGGTTTCCTGATGTACAGATCTCGATAGCTGCCGTGTCGACCGTGCGTACGCTTGAATGACTTGCGCTGTTCGAGAACGTGGGTGTGGTGGTATTCGGTATCGTTAGGAGTACTTGATCTTCATCATTCAAAAGTAAGAGATCGTCGAAAAAATAAAAATAAAAAAAAAAAGGATGAAGAAGAATGTCTTGTTGATCAGAGGTGACTTCAATCTATAGGAAAATAGGCGCATACAAGTGTTGAGGTCGATAAGATTATTAGGTCGGTTGTCAAAGAAGCGATCGCACTGGTTCTCAGGGGAAAGTAATCCCAGTGGTATCAACCGAAGAACTTGAGGTAAGAGATGAGACGGAAATTCCGAAACGTGGCTAAGGGCAAGGTTTGGGATTTTGGGATTTCCGGTTAAAATTAAACGTTTTCCCGAGAAAATGCAGAGGAACGGAAGCGGAAGGCACACACACACAACTTCGGGATGATTTGACAAGGCCGAGGCGCTAAGGCCCCAGGATGCAGAATTGGCCCCGCCCAAATCATTGAGCCCGTATGAATTAGGGCTATATCGCTTTGACACTGGAGGGAGGATTCAATTTCGGCCTTCGGCGGTTTCTTTCCGTTCTCCCTTGCTGGCGTTACTTCTCAATCATCCTGTTATTGCAAGAGAACTATACTAAGTTCGTCTTGAGCTCGTAACAGATGACTGCCACTGCGGCACCTATGTGGAGATGAATGTCAGCGATAAGGAGGACTTTTACCACCCTTTCAAAAAAACGAAGGGCAACGTCGGTTGCGACATGACCACAGAGCTGACGACGGTTTCAAGTAATTGGATTGGAAGTGGTTTGCGTAGTGGTAGATGATTAATGAGAATGAGAGGTTGTATTCAATAAAATGATAGAATCAATGAAGGAGGCCCAGCCACTTCACTGGCAGAAAAGTCACACAGTCAGATTTTGTGGAGGTCGTCGTCACTTTTGGTGTATGTCTGCTCTCGACGCTCTTCTCGTTTTTTGAAAAAGGATATACAGTCGAGATCCGAAAGTTGGGGTAGGCGTGTCACCGGAAGTGACGTGGACTTGATAGAAGTTGCGTAGATAAGTCGTTGCCAGCATGCTTTGCTGATATCTCGCGATGTATATTGGAAGCCCCTTATCCACATAGATTCTATCAAGTACACGTCACTTCCGGTGACACGCCTACCCCAACTTACGGATCTCGAGTATACATTCAACGCACTAAACCATTTGAACCTTTACACTGCCCAAACGTACTAGCCACATGAGCACGTCGGGATTAGGCAAGCTTACGGAACTGGACGTTGCGGTTGCCGCACTTAAGAGAAGTGGTAGAAGTGTGTGTTTTCGCTTTTGCTAGAAATCAGCTTAGCATCAGGGGACAACTTTATAACGTTTCTGTGGCCGGCCATCACGCAGGAGTACCCTGCGTTGCGCAGTTCGCAACGGCACGTCGAGAGATCCTCAACGCACGCTGTATGGGCGGAGACACAGACGGCTCGAGCATGCGAGTGTGAATGTTCGCGCGAGAGAACGTGTCTAATCGGGCGAAACTGCGCAACGTGGCCGTTGAAAACTGCGCAACGCAGGGTTGACTCTGCCACCACGTCAAGTTCGTTGACCCACTATATGACGGGTAACGATACGCTCTCCCACGTGATAATGAATGTAGAAAGGTGGTAAGTTAATAATTGGAAAGCCCGTGGAGCGTTACCTATTGTTTCATGGGGGAAGTCTGCTACTCATTGCACTATGTGACTTTCCCATCCCTTCTCAGCATTTATCGCGACCACTTCTTAAAGGCAAGATTCGGGATAAAATAGGTGTCTAAAAGCGTTCAGTCATGATACTAGAGGTGGGAGGTGGTCTATAAAAGAGAAGGAAAGCAAACGAAATCACAGATTACGCCCCGTACAGAAACCTCCCCTATTTCAGCAACATTCCACCTTGGGATAGAGAAAAGGCGCGTTGGACGAGTTTCGCGAGCCTGACTCTAGTTGCTCCAGTGCCATTGACACAGGATCGCGGTGGGACCGCTGCCTCAAATGCGCCCGCGCTTTTCAAGCAGCGCCACGTGGCAACGGACAGCGGAGGGTGGGGCTTGCGGACGAAGGTGTGAGTTGCAGGTCGGACGAGCTGCTTGTGCCTTTGTCGCGCACTTTCAAGCGGCAAAAGGGGTGCGACAACAACACTTGTCCGCCTGCCTACTACCCCGGGATGGAAGAGGCGAGCGCGCCTAATCGCGACCACTTCCCTTGAAGAAACTCGAAAATAACGTTCGATTTGAGAGTCGAGTCCACAAAAATCCCGTCACATGACAGAAAAGGTTGGACATTCTCACTCACGCATTTTTGTTAGCTTGTAATTTATGCAGATCCCATCCCGCCTATGAGTCACCAAAGTCCCACAATCAAATGCACAGGTCTATAATCATACGGCAAACAAATTCTTTCATTATACAAACACAGGCATAATTCAGTTCACCTCCTCTGATTTCGCTCACGAATGACTAATCAGAAACGGCGACTTAGCAAGGAGTGGTACCATGCACAAGAACTTTAAATAAAACATACATGTAATTATTTAGGTATTTTCAAAGTAAAGCATTAGACTGTGTATTAGAACATGAACCGTAAATGAGACAAGGAATGAGACTCTGGAATGAATCGCCCATAGTAAAGGCTTCAAGACCGGATTATGCAAAAAGCACATAACTTTACAACTAAAACCGAGATCTTTAAATTTGTAATGTAATAATAGTGAACAGAATTAAGTCTTCAGGTAGGAAACAGAATTATGTCCTCAGAGACTCATCGTCTTCACTTGGGTCATTATTTGAACCGGCTGGTGTATTGCGGGATGAGGGGCGTGTTTCCATATTATCGCTGCCTCCAACAGAGTTTATACTTCTAGTACCCAGTGTCACATACTCTTCACCTGAAAAATATGATCGCTGCCAGATTATCAAGATCAGTTCATTCCACAAGGAAAAATCAGCTCAAAACTGTCAAAAATAGTAGCAAAGAATACATCGGGTACCTTTCGTTATAGAGTTATTACTTCCCAAATCTTCTGAGATCCCGCGGAGCGCTGAGAAGCCGGCGGTCACCAGCTATTGCCACCCGAGCCTATTGAATAAGACAATGAGGAGCTAGTCTTTCGTGAAAATGCTCGAGCGCAATGACAAAAGGATAAAAACAAGCACCAGACCCAAGAAAAAAAGAAGTCAAAAATATTTTATGAGTCTTACCCTAAGAGCGTTAACCTCTCTAGTGAGGGAATCGTTCGCATCATTCATATCCATCAGTTGCCTTGAAATTTCTCGATATTTTGAATTCGCAGTGGCTACTTCCTCCTCCAACTCTTGAGCTCGACGCCGCTCCGCCTTGTATCGCGAATTAGCACGTTCACACTAAACAAGCCTTTTTAGAATAGAATAACTAGCCAGATCATCATGAATTCTATTGAACTATCAAATCATTTGGTAGCTAACCGATTCACGATGCTGCTCGATTTGACGTCTTTCTTCTTCAAACTGCACATTCATCTCCATTATTCGCGTTTCTAGTCGACGTGCCTATAAAATCTTCTTTAATATCAGTAAAAAAATTAGAAAAGGTGAGAACGAACCTGACGACAAACACGAGCTTTCTCCTGCTCTTCTGCTTGTAGCTGCTGTTCTAACATTTGAGCCCTGGCTTCAGCTGTTGCAAGTTGACTGCGCGAACACGCGTCGCGGCGGCCGCTGCACTTGAGACAATGAAAATATAACATGGGAAAAATGAAAAAAAATTCTCACATTCAGCCTCTTGTAGTTGAGATTTCAATTCTCGAACTGTTCGTTCCAATGTTACTTTATCGGCATCAGCGCGCTCACACATTGAACGTTCCATGGTCAATTCGGAAGTTAGCTGTTCAACCTAAATAGCACACTTCTCCAGGCAACATTTACAAAGCAAAGCCATTGATGATGAAAAGCGCGCTTTCTACACCTGCACGCTTCTCTTCTTAATCATCAGTAGATATCTTATAAAGAGTAATGTACTCATTTCATTAAAGCCAACCCGACGCACTGTTTCGTATGCTCCATATGTGGTACCGGTTCACCTTCCATTCTATTCACGCTCAAGGGCGTCTAGCCTTGGGTCTTAAGCCGATGTCAGTCTTTGCAAATCCAGCGGGTGCGATGTGAAGCGATGCGCAGTGGTTCGAACGGTGTACCGCGCCTCGACAATGCGGGTGAGAGTCCTTCTCATGCGACGTAAACTGTCGCCAACTCGTAAACCGTCCCACAAATGGCTTGCGACGGCATGAGAGCACGGGAAAGTGGCGAAATCCAACGTGCTCATGAGAAGGACTCGCCTTTTTTCCACACCGTCGAATCGCTGGAACATCGCTCGAACAGCTGGTAATCGTATGAGCTGACGCCTGAATGAACGCTTTTCTCAGCGATTCGATGGATTCGCCAAGTCTGACACTGACTTGTAGGGAATTACTCACTACGAGTCTTGTTTAGCAGATTGAGAGTGAAGGATTACAGATAGGATGCACTTAGGACGCATCTATTTTTTAGTTTATTGGATCATGAATCTTCACAAAAGATCAAAATCGAGTGCGTGGCTGGGGAACTAGCTGAAAGCAAGCAACCTTCCCTCCAGTCCCATGTAGCGCGACTTATGGCTTATGATTAGCGTTCCCAACGCGAAGAGAGAGATCAAGGAATGGCTGAAGAGGATCAAGTTCTATTAATGCTACCACAAAAAAGGTATATTCTCCCATGTGGAATACTGAAAAGCTATTGAAACTAGCCTGCGCTTGTGCCTTCTTTAGCTTTTCGTTCTGCAACTCATTACTGGTCTGCTCCTCTTCGAGCATATCTTGTAAGTCCGCAATAATCTTCTCAAACCTGAAATGGGATGTATTACATTTTACTGACGCTCATGACACACATTAATTCCGCGAACTTTTTCTTTTCCTCTTGTCCAACAACACCTCCTTGACATAACGCCGACAGTTCTTCGGTAAGATCATCTCGTTCCGCTTCAGCTTTTCTACGAGCTAGCTGGCATGATGATAATTCTCCATTCAAACGAGAAATATCTGCCTCGGCCGCACGCAATCTGAACCGATCGCTATTACCAAGCATTTTCTTTGATTTTTAATAAGAAGACTCCGTTACCGTTTTTCAGCATCTCTTGCTTTACATAAATGCTTCATCCATAGCTGCTCTAGCTTCAGCACCCTCAGTTTCAGCTTCCTTGGCACTCAGTTGCACACGACGAATTTGTCTACTAGCTTCTTCGTTCTGCTTTGTGAGATGTTCAATTTCTTCTTGCAGTGTTACCACCTAAAGAGCAGTGTGACTCTCTCGATGTGGTTTTGAGCGAAATTTTCACTAACCTGTGCCTCCAACTTCTTCTTTGACGCTGCGGCTTGGGCCTTGAATCGCTGCTCCGCATTCAACTCCTCCTCTAGTTCACGCAACTGAAATTGGAACACCGACCTGCGTACAGATGCTACCTAGTATATGGAGAGCAGAGCGGCGGTCAACACCCAAAACACTAACACTTTCACGCACATAAAAGTAGGTTCTTGGAAAGGGCTCGGAGTAAAAAAGTTTGAGGCAAAATGCAACGGAGTGAACGATTGAAGAAGCACCAACGAAACGCTGCTGCTCCAGGCTCCTATTCTTGGAGTAGAATAAAGTACGATTTTAGGGCTAAGAATGTTGGCCAATCAGAACACACACAAGGTACCGAGAACTTAGGAGAACAAACAGATGAGTTAGACGAAAAGCAACCCATCAGCCAATCACACACATTTTAGCGCAGACCCCACATGATGGACGTTCTCACACTCCCATCACCACAGCCTAAGCTCTTGCCACAAATGGTCGAGCGTGAACTCGACACAACTTCTAAGCTGCTCTACCTTAGGCAAGGATTGTTGCATTCATTTGTTGAGTCGTGCAATATGTCTTTGAGGCATATCGAAATGATCACTAGCCATTGCACAACTCTATTCTATACGTATTTAGCTGCTTGAACGGTTCTATGGATCAGAAAAAATTAAAAATATTTTTACCTAATTCACTATTTGCGGTTTTTCAATCTGAAAAACTTACTCGTTTAGTAAGAGATCGCCGTTGATCCTCTTCTTCATCGTTCCTCTGCGACAGCTGTCTCTCCCACTCCTGTTTGGCTGCCTGATGCATGACGTCACTCCTTGTTTTCGCGTCGTCAGCCATTTGTAGAGCGTCTTCCAATTCGGCTATCTGAAGACGAAAAAATACACGAATACAGAAACAGTACAACAATACAACCCTCAAGTAACAACGAATACCTGCTCTCTAGCTTCTGCAAGTTCTTCTTCGAGACGTTTCCTAGCTTTATCTAATTCAAAAACGCTTTTTCCCGCATCGTCCTTTGTCGATGCCTACATGGGACATAATAACAAGCGATAAGAAACCTGAAGTTGTGTGGACTCACCAAATTATCAACTTCGAGGCGCAGCATTCGCCGTTCTTTTTCAAAAGCGTCAACCTGGCCTTGGAGGTCCTTCAATTCTTTGACAGCGTTCAAATAGCGTGTTTCTGCATCGCGAGCCTAAAGCATCAAGGCTCAGCAAGTTCACACTGCAGCTCTATGTGGAAGCACTAACCTGTTGTTGAGCAAGATCTCGATCAGTAATGGCTTTAGCCGTAGTAGCTCTCTCTTCGGCCAGTAGCTGATCGAACTTCCTTTGTTTTCGCTCAAATTCCCTTATAGAAGCAGTGATTTCCGTGATCTCACGGCATGCGTCTTCAGCCTATTTGAAACAAAGATATAAACCATTTTCCGAGTCAGAGTTGAATTAAAGAAAAGCACCTCTTGCTGCGCTTTCACTTTGGCACGTTCTGCTTTATCACGAGCAGCTTCAGCTTCAGTAACTCTGTTTTCCACGGTTACTAGCTCACGCGATAGCTTACGCTGTACTTCTCCGACTGCATCTGCGAGTTCCTCGTCAAATCGCTTACGGGAATCCAACAACTGAGATTTTAGTGATGCCACCTCCTATAACGAAAAATATGCTATTGCCAAGATAATGGAAGGGCGAGACAATGTCACCTTCTCAGATTTTTCCATAAGTTGTTTCAACTCATCCTGAGCATCCCGCAACTCTGCCGCTTCATCTTCAGCTTTCCTCAACTTCACGGTAAGGTTTGAACGATTCCTCGCGGTCTCCTCTGCTGCCTGCAAAAAGATGTTTCCAAGGGCTGCTTCATTGTGTCTTTCTTCAACGTTTTCAACGAGGTGAACGTAAAAACGCAAGCGATGAGAAAGTTTGATGAGCTGGCCTCAGTCAATTCGGAAATTTCCATTTCCAGATTAGCAATTTTCTTCAGCAAACTGCCGTTGGCCTCGGCATCCATTTCACGACCTTTCAAAGCAGCATCTAGATCGCTTGCAAGCTGAAAGCAAACATAATTAGGGCTACAATGTATGATCAACATCCCATAATATGTTCGGCTTCCTACCTTGGTTACTTTTGAGACTAGTTGTTCATTGTCTTCAGTGTATTGTTGTAAGCGGAGGGCCTGGTCAGCGAGTTGCGATTCAGCCATCTAAGATCGAAACCAATTGGAGATTTCCTCTCAATGGATAACAAAAATAAAAAGCTATCAAATAACAACAAAAAACACCTTTCTCTTCCGTTCGCTATCAGTTCGTAAAGATTGAAGAGTATTCAATTCCCTTTGCGCGTTCATGAAATCATTTTCAAGCTGTGTTCGTGCCTTTTCTGACTAAATTAGTGCAATTACGAGAGCATCGTGAATCAGGAAGTGTAAAAAAAACCAACCGCGGCCTTTGCTCTCTTCAGCTGATCCATTTCTTCTCCAAGTTCTTCTAACTGTTTCAGGTGTTTCGAGCGCAAAGCTTCGTATCTCTGATCAGATTCACGTATACTCTCGGCCAGTTGATTCTATAATGGATGTTGACTGGTTTTTGTAATTTCTTTGAAGCCGAACTTTTATTCGATGGCGTAGAGATAACGTTCAGCAAACCAACGTTTACAAAACAAATGCCGAACAGTATAACACCGAAAAGAAACCTGCAGCAAGCTGTACTCTTCTTCTCGTTTAGTTCGCATCGCATGATGTGAAGCGCTTTTGTCCTGAGTCTCCTCAAGTTCAAGTTTATAAGTTTCAACTTGTTCGCTAAGTTCACGACGTGCTTTCTCAGATTTGACCCTGAATAAATAGTCAACAATCAACTAGCATAGTGTGAACTTGACATACTACAATGAGACCCATGAAAAGGTCAGCATGAAGTGAGGAGGGCAGAGATGGTGCACCAGTACTGGCACCATATATGGGACTAAATCCCTGCTGAACCGCGATCAGCCATCCCTTTGGGTTCGACTGATTGACTTGTACACACTTATGTGGAAAAACATTGATATGAACATTGGCTGCCCGCATGACTGTTCCAAAAGGGTTGAGCGAAAAGGGCCGGCAGCAAAGAAAAAAGGAAAAGGAGGCGTCGAAAGCGCCAGACGGCCCTCCACCTTTTGTCAAAAGCGTACAGAACGCACCAGCCTCACGATCAGTCCACACATATTTTAGCGATGTCTTCGGAAATAAATTATGGGTAGAAACAGAAAGGAAGATGAAGCTCTAACCGTAACGCTTGTTCCTGCCTCAGATCCTCAACAGCGTCATCCAGCTGAGATTGTAGTTCACGAAGATTTCTTTCCAACTGCTGGCGAGACGCTGTTTCTTCGTCGTTTCTCAAAATATATCAAAATCATAAAACACAAAAAACGGATGTTAGTCGAAGAACAACTATACTTGAGTGCGATACCTAAGTTTCAGCTGAACTAATTCAGCATCTTTACGACTTAGAATCTGAGCGAATTCCTCGATTTTCCGCAGTCGTTCAGACGCTGCTTCCTTTTCTTCTCTGAGTTCACCATCAAGTGCCCTCCTTGCGGATTCAGCCTCATTTCTTGCCACTTTCTCCCTTAAAATTACAATAATGGTCAGCAAATACAATGTAAATTACTGTCATGATGTTTAATTACCTTTCCAATTCTTCTTGCAAATCGACTGCAGAGATTTCAGCTTTGTTTTTCTGCTTCAGCAGTGACTTAGCTCTTTCTTCTTCATCAATCAGACGAGCTGAGAGGTCCTTTACTTTCTCTTCTAACATGCGTTTCTCCTTCCCGAGCTGAAAGGTAACTTCTGCCGAAGACTATCCAGCTATCGAATACGCACCGAATCAAAACCCACTAACCCGCCCTGCAGTGTCTCCAAACTCCAGATTTTGCGACTCAAGATCTCTCAACTTTTTCTCTATTTCGACCTTTTCTAGATGCAAGGTTTGTCTGGCGCGTTCCTCTTCTTCGAGATGGTGTTCCAAGTCATGAACATTATCCTAGAGAGATAAAGGGAATTGTTACTGCCTTGCCATCGAAACCGAACTGTATACCATCAATTTCTTCCGTTCACGCTCTGCAGCTTCGCGGCGTTGCTCCTCGGCATGTAGCTGTTTTTCCATCTGGTCGAGAGCTGTCTCCAGCTCCAACTGAACTCGTTCACGTGACTTTCAAAACATCGAATAGCCCGAAATCTCGTGAATCGCCTACCTTCCGAGCTGCAATACGTTGCCGTTCCTCATCTACCTCTGCGCGTTCCATACTTTCCAGGTCTAGTTTTTCCTGTAGACGATTTTTCTCTTCATCATACTGAAAAAGATAGCTAAAATGAAGTCATGCTAAAAAATTTGTTCGGTTTAGTTAAACATTACCTTCTCAATTTTACGATACATATCGTTTATGAATATTTCGCTTCTCCTCAACTTCTCAGAAGTAGTTTTTAGCTCTTGTTCTTTCTCTGCGATCACCATATCCTTGTTGGTTATTTCCAGCAAGGGTTTCACCTTAAACACATAATTGCGATGACACTATAATGCTTTTCAAAGGGGATTAACCTTAGTAAATAGTCTCCACCAAAGCCACCCTCGAAGCCGTATCCACGCCAAACCATTTCGCTGGATTATACGAATGGCAGCAGCTTTTTCTCGGCGTCGATTGAAATCAGCACGAGCCAACATACCGCGACACAGTGCCTGTATATTACACCTTTAGTGGCTGTAAACGAATAAAAAAGTGGCACGCGACGGATTTAAAACAAACTTGGAAGCGAACAACAAGAACAGCCAGCCTTTCGTCACGATCTTCTTCGAGACCAGCAATAACACCCGTGCGGAAAAATACTTTCGATTGTCCTATCCGATAGAGAGATGGCTGCACATCAATTGCCTCAAGGATTCGACTGAAAAGGCTCTCATAATAACTTATGTGAAACACTTTTGAACGACAATATCCCTTGCTACGGTGAAATACCCTGAATACAACTGACCGTACGGCCTCCTTCCCATCCATGAAACCATGAGGTATTGCATTTGGCGCTAATAACCTCTCATATCGCTGTCGAAACTCCTGCATTCAGAACTTTGACAAACAAAAACAAAAAACTGTAATCGAAGTAGCGAAAAACCGGACAGTTGACCCATTCAAATATGTTAAGTGAACGAGTCAGGTTGCACCCGCGTTTCCTAAGGGACCTAAAATTGCATAGTGCCTTTGCATTGCTTAT